CCAAAGTGAGCCATCATTGCTACTGAAACTCCCCTGTCATAGCCCAGTTCCTGGCATACATAGATGTATTTGATACAAGAGAAACAGGCAAGAGAGAAGGGAAGGCCTCCTGTACGTATTTCAAAGAGCGTTGCCAGCGCTCCGGCAAACCCATCGCCGCCTCGGGCTTGATAGGATCACGTATATTCCCTAGGCCCAGTTAAATGGTGACCAAAACACCGTCCCTCTGCCCGAGCCACAGAAGGTTATTCGACAGGCCAGCATGGTTCCCAATCCTGAGAGTGCTGGCCAAACAAACAAGAGTGCGCCCACTTGAAGGAAAACAATCCAGGGCAGAGTGGGTGGGAGGCCTCGACTGTCACTGGGAGAAAAGCAGGCGATGATGAGGAGCGGAGGAGCGCGCATTATCTCATACCTTTATGAAGCGGCCGCGTGAGAAGCAAGCCCAGGCTGGCCTCGTCGGGTTAACAGCATGCATATTCCAACCGGCCCCTTAAAGCCTTTACTCGCTCTCCCTTTCTAATTCCTACTTTTCAACTTTATTGCTTCCCCACTTTATCCGGTTCACGCATGGGCATTTGTACTGCCACACACCCGTTCACACATTAGCCTACTGCCACAATTGCCGCTAAGTGCCAGCAACCAGTACACAACAACCAACACCTTGCTTGCTCCCGCATTTCTTCTATCAGCACTGGTACTATTTTCCCTGTCTCTACAAGCGCCAGACTGGCGGCGGTGAAAATGACTCATGAGAACATGTAAGTGGTCGACTTTACATCTATACAAATCGTGCGAGGTCATGCCCTTGCAATGCTTAGCGCCCAGCTTCCACCCACCCACCTTCATTTGCGAATCTTCAAGCATGTCCCTTCATTGGAGGCGAAGGAGAGTTCCATGCCCCCCTTTATTTCTCAAGCATGCAGCTTTGAAAGGCGTGGGTAATATTGTGGGCGACTGTGCAAGACGTCTTGGTGTCAACGCCCTTCACTGAGACGCATAAACATATACTGCTTGTTGAGCCACACACGTACAAGCGAAGCCCTGTTGCTCCCCAAACCTTGTGCATAGCTGTTCTTACATCAGCCCCACTCAACATATTTTGAATATCTTCATAGATTGAATGCGTACATCTACGACTATCTGAGGAAGCGGGGCTTCACCACCACGGCTGCCTCGTTTATGTCAGAGTGCTCAAATCTCCCTCTCAACGCACCTGCACCTGATGACCCTGTTTTCCAAGAGAAGCCGCAGCCATCAAACGCAGTGGTGAACAGACAACAGATTAGTTTGCCATCAGTGCGCTTGCCCTATAATCTAAGATCGCCTGATAGCTCATATCTCTCAAGGTGGTGGGACACTTATTGGGACGTATACTACGCAACATCGACCTCATCGCACTACAAAACTCCTGATTCGATAAGATTTTATATCCAGCTTGTACAGGTAAGTGAGTCAAAGAGCAGCATCATGTTAGAATAGACTGCGAGTATATATACACACTGCCACAAGTACAACCTTTGTAGTATATTTCCTGGACATGTAAATATATACATGTATGCTAAACATAGATAGTTCCTACATCTCTCACTGCCATGAGAACATGGGAGCGCTATGATGGCCGATATCTTTTAATGATACAAAAATTGCTTTTCAATACTTTAGGGATCAAGGTTCTCTCATACAACACTGAATCAAAATGGAAAGCGCATGGATGGGTAAGGCTTTAAATAAAACTATTAGCAACATTCATTTATATGGTTTAATGCTAACTCTTTTTCAATAACATGCTATATATTCTAAAGCACCATGTCGGATGCGGATCTATTACACGAAGCCAACGGAAATGTTAGAAAAGACGAGACATTCAAGACAGAAGGTGGCCAGGTTCCAAAGAAAAGAAGAACTGCTGCGAGTAATTCACCACAACAGTTTGCAAACGCAAAAATAGCTCGCCAAAAAGCTATGATGGAAATGCAAGCAAGCTTACAGGGAGGACACGGTATGAACCCTAACACCAATGGGTTTGCATCCGATAACAGCAACAACAACAACAACAACAATAATAATGCCAGCCTTCGCCCTGAGCAAAATAGCCACCCCCAGAATGACAGGTCTCAAGACATTGGTCTGCCCCCCGGAATGTCGGCCATGCAGTATAAGCAGTTTATAAATCATGCAAAGGCGTCCATCCCCCTACAGTCACACATCCAGCCGCAACAAAACTTGGCAGGTCACCCACCCCAAGTACAAGCTGTAGACAAAAAGCAAAATTCAGATCAACCAAATTCTGGGCCCTACAAAAATCCTGCCACCAGCCCTCAAAACAAAGCTGGTACAGTTAAAGGGGATATACGCTCACCAACAATATCACCATCAACAATGTACAACCGTAACGGAATTAACACGAGGTCGTCATCAATATCATCCCCATTGATTACCGCCGGGTCTGCTGTACCTAATATGGGGATTGGGAAGGGTGGAAACGGTGTCCAGCAAACAATGGCCACTTCGAGAGGTAGCGAGCCAGTGCGACAGATGACCCCAGTTGGAGGAAATCCTCAAGGTGGGCCAGGACATCCTCAGATTAATCAGAGTGTGCATGGAAATAATCATCAACAGATGCAGGATAATAAATCCCAGAACCCCGGAATGGGGGGATTAAACGCACAGCAGTTTCAAGCAATGGTTTCTCCACCGATACAACCACAGCAGCAAGGGATGCAACAGGCAGGGATGATGTACAATCCTAATATGCTGACACAACAGCAACAACTCCAACTCCAACAGCAAAGGAAAAATGCAATGGCATACCAGCAGGGCGGGTTTATCCAAATGCAGAACGCAGCTAATGCGCAGAACAGACTAATGCAGCATCAACAGCCTGGAATGGGACACCACCCCGGGCTTGTTGGCCAGGGGATGAACAGCTTCCAGGGCCATCCGGCTATGGGTTCAGGAGGATTCCCTAACAAAATGCAGGGACCATCTGGAGGCCAGCAGCCGATCAAAGCTGAGTCGAATCATGTGCAAACAAGTGTGCAGCAGCAGCAGCAGCAAATGGCAACAGGGTCGACAATAGGTGTCAAAAATTCAGAGCCCAACCAAGCGCCCCAAGTTCGCGCTTCAACAGTACAAAGCGATGGTGGTCAAAGCATACAGACCACATACCCCCCAGCATCTACGGCGCCAAATTCAAAGGACACTGAGAAAAACCATGGCCAAGAGATTTCGCAACCCAACACCAGTATGCAAACCACGTCCCAGCCAAGTATACCCATACCAAAGGCTCAATCAGGCAACTTTGGCAAGGGATCCACGAAGGGTGACTCGGCAGTCTCAACCAAATCATCAGCACCGCCACCCACAGGGCGCAGGGTATCTCAGTCTTCCGGGAAGCCACGGAGAACGGTGGGTACCATACATTACTGCACGCATCTTGTTTTATACTTTAGGTTGACAGTGATTATATACTTTTAGGTAAAAAAGGCAAAGGGTACGGCCACTGGTTCAGCGAAAAACACGACAAATGCAGGTGGAGAAAAGAACCCAAGCAACAGCAATGCAGCTTCCCAAGTGTCAAAGACGCCCAGCAATGCCGGTCGTAAAACGAACAAGCAGGATGGATTTGGGGCCAAAGCAAGCAACATCACCAAGGGTAGTGCTGCAACATCCGAAGCCCAAAACACCAAGGCTGCTGGTGCTGTAGACACAAAGGCAACGCCCGGCGGGACAGATGGTGGCAACAACAACAGCGCCAATAATAATAATAATAATAACAATGTCACACAGGTCTCTGGAAACGAAACCACTTCTATCTCAAGCACAATGGAGTCGCATGCGCCAGTCAGCACGAGTGGGGGCGGCTTATCGTCGTCAATACAAGGCAACGGGCTGTTATCGGGAGATGCCGTCCCAACGCTTGACATCAATGCGCTGACTAACGGGACATATGAGTACAACTACTTTAGCAATTCTGGAAAGCCAGGCATGAATATGTTCTCGCAAAGCTCAAACATGGGATTTGATTCTTCTGGGAAAGATGCTAATGGACTCTCTGCAGAGTTTCTCACAGGATTTTCAGATAGTCTATTCCAAATGCCCAATGACGACTCCATGGCAGACTTTATGAACTTTGGCGGCAGCTCAGCGGCAGACGGGAATGGTGCCCTTTCTCTGGGACTTGGCAACATTAACTTTGAAGAACTGATGTCCCAGACACTAGGAAGAACATCGGAAGCCACGATCGATGGGCTCATGACATCAACCTCAATGCTGGGCAACGGAAATAACAACAATAATAACGGAAACACTGGTACAAATGATAGCGTCGATAACAGTGAAAACTCGAGTGGTCCGCCTGCCGAGAAACAAAGCGCAAAGGCATAAGCTGACCCGTCTCTCATTCCCAACATCCCCCACTCTCCAGAGCCCTATTTTGTAAACCTTTGCACGCATATCATACACGCACACATACTTTTACTACACATCAATCAAATGGCTTTTGCCATTATAATTCCCTCCTGTATTCACTGGTTTTTTAATCTGTACTAACATGTGTTTTGCTGGCAATTTCCGCCAGCAACATCATCATCACCACAACCACTCTCTTTCCTTTTATCCAAGAAATATTTTGCTTTAATTTTGTATACTGTCTTTTGCTGTCTTTTCTGGTTACTTGATAGCAGCAACTGTTTTTCCTTTTAAATTAAATTGGCCATTATGGTTGGTTTTTGAAAAAATGTGCTGCTATATTTGAATCAGTAAAGCTAAACTTTAGTCTCGCTTATTTTAATAGAATAATTGGGTAAAGATGAAACAATAAATGTATTTGCAAAATTAGTGGATATTGCTGTTTAAGTGTTTGATGTTTTTTTTTTTTTTTTTTGGAAAGTTGCAAAGAGTCAACCAACATAATGTGAGAGTATTTATGTATAGATAATTGATAATGATAGGGGAAAAAACAAGAAAAGCAACATAACATCAAACAATAAAAATTGCGCCCAATGCGAGGCTCGAACTCGCGACCCTTGGATTTCTTACGGGAAATACCCTTAAAAGTCCAATGCTCTACCTAACTGAGCTAACCGGGCGGCTATCTCTTCTCCACTTTTCTTTTTATACCTATATCGGCCCCACCTCTTTTTGGCCTATAAAAGTATCAAAAAAGATGCTTCCCACTGAAGAAAACT